GAGGGAGAAAGTCCCGTGGACTGCGTCAACATGAATATCGTATAAAATCCAACCGGCTGCAGTACGAGTTTCATCCGTCCTCATCTGGTGAGATCGACCAATGAATCTCTTCTTCATACACTTTATTGATCTATTTCAGCATAACAGTTTAATCAATTTTGGCTTTATCCTGAACAAAATATGTCTTGTCGACTGTGTTATGATAGAGAGGATACAGAACTCGCAGTTATTTTCATTCAATGTGAAGGCGTTTTAGAGAGGCTTGGTAGTCACGGAAACTGATTCAACTTTCGTTGGAGTACTTTTCATTTCGTTTGAAGGTGTCCTGTTCTGACGACGTTCGTCACTTGACGGATGAGTGCTCATCCAGAATACATCGGGGCCGCAGGTCAGAGCGTTGAAGACCTGTTCGAACAAATCTACAGTCATATCTCTTAGGGAATTTCGCTACAGTTTACGGTGAGGCTAACTTACAAATTCTTCCCACTTGCCTCTTCAAATGCAATGAAAAGTACTCCAATATAAATCTATTAAGGACTTCTTCGAAACCCAGTTTTTCTGAATTCTTAATTAGTATAGCAACTTAGCTTGACGCTGCAGATTCCCTTATCGCTTTGCGGCATGTGCACCGAGTAAATCTCGTAATCAAGCCTTTACTTTATGGATCACGTATATGTGCAAACTTATCTAATAATGGCCACCACCTTTTCTCTCGCTCTTCTATCTCTAATACCAAGTCTGACTATCTATTGTGTGCCGAACCCCAAATGTGATAGTTCTACATTGTTTTAATAGGTACACTATAGACGGCTTCCCTTTGTTTTCCAAGTGTTCATCTCTGGATCCCATTGTAATTTCTTTTCTATCCCTAATGCTAAGTCTGTAAATTTCCTTTGTGTGCTGACGTCCAAATGTGATAGTTCTACTTGATTTGACGTCTTCTCTTGGTTTCAGATTATTCCTCTTTGATCTTGTAATTTCCTTTCCTAAAATTAAAAATATTACCTTTGTCCAATCGTCTTCTTTTTGCTGATATTGCTGTTCCTTGATATTCTTCGGTTTTGCTTAGGCAAAGTCTTAGCTAATACTGCCTTTTTCCAGTCTTCTGTTCATTAGGTTTATTTATTCAGGATATAAATGGCTTCTCGTTTCTTACGTTTTCTTGTATTTTCACTATATGCAGCCAGCCTTTTTGTCGATTTCCACTCGATTTTGTGTTCCGTATGTGCGATGTGTTCCGCTATTTCGAATCTTTCATTATCCATGTTTCTGCGGAGTCTTTGGTGTTCATTGATTCGTAGGCTGATTTTTCTTCTTGTTTCAGTAATTAATTTCTGCTCACAGTTGCCACATTTAATGCTATAGATTCCCGAGCAATCCAATTTGTCACCCTTCTCGTTTTGCGTCGACAAGCTTATGACGAGTGTTGTCTTTTCTTTTGTTATCACCTTGATATTCCATTTTCTTAACAACGGTCGAAATTTTTGGCTCAGTTCACATTTGCCAAAAGAAGTGAGAGTGGAGATCCCATCGGTAGTCCAAATATTTGTTCATAGATATTGCCGTTGAATGTAAGATATGTGGTGCTTGCTGTCAGGTTGATTATTCATGTTAAAGACTCCTATATCCGCTCTGTTTCCAGGATATCTTCGTCTCGTTCCAAGACCTCAAGCAGGCAGGTGACTATCTGCTCATCTGAGATGTTTTTTTACTTGAATTGTACGTCAAAACTTACCAACATTTCCGTCCCTGCAAGTCCAATATTATGGGTCCTTTGAGAAAATTCATATGAATTCTTCTTCCTATTCAAGAGTCGGTCGTTTACTTTCTTAAGTTTCAAGCATATAAATTTCGCTACTTTGTGTGTTGCTCCATGCTTGTTGACTGGTAACCTTAATGGTTTCCCTTCTTGTGTATCTTTGGTAGTCCGTAGGCTGTCGGTGGTCTTGCGTCATTTTTTATTAGTGTATTTTTCATCCATCTTTCGATTTCTTTTTGTTTATGTATTTCCTTTGCCATTTTCTTCAGTATTTTATTAATCTTCATGGTTGAAAACTTTTTTACTATTTGATAAGTATTCGGGTCGCATAGGATACTTTCCATCTTTTTCGTATACTGTTCCGTGCCCATTATCACCGTCGCACATCCATTATCCGCCTCAAGTACTGTTTGGTAATTGATTTGTAATTTTCTGCGTATCTTCATCAATCCACTCCTTTTCATTGGCTCTTGATGGGACAGACTTGTCGGGATTAATTCCATTTCCATCTCCCGTTTAATCTCTTCTAGGAATTTCTCCGAGATGTTGATAATTTCTAAAAGTATATCTTCGAAAATATGTATCTACGTTTGACTAAGAAATACATTTGCTAGAATATGGGATTAAAAAGTATATTAATTCATTAAATATTCGAGGTTTTTTGAAATTTTGTCTCTTTTTTTTAAACAGAGGCAAAATCAACGACAACCACATTCGGATTCGTCGACAAACTGCATCTCTCCAGGCATCCCAACATTTACTGCATGTATCGGTCATTTAACATCTTTTTACCACCGATTTTCATTACCTATCTGTAAATTCCATTGTAGAATGAATAAAGTAGCATCCACTTTCGAGAATAATTCTGGAGAATTTCGAAACAATTTGTTGCCGTCTTTGGCAGCATTAAATCCTCCCTCGCCACCAATTATCTTGGTTGGCAATAAGATAGACTTACTTGATATATGTGAGGTGGATCGAGGGCTTGCGGAATCCCTTGCAAAGCAATGGCATTGTCCTGTGGTGGAGACTTCTGCGCTCACCGGAAAAAATGTGCATGAAGCCTTCTTAAAGCTTGTGCAGCAGGTAGAATGCATTTTTTAACTTACTTTATAGCGCTTTATTGCCCTTTGTTATAAACCTTTCTATATCTATTTATTTAAGACTATTAGTAAAATTGAGTATAGCGATATTTACGTTTTACTTTTTGACTTTTGTGGATATGCTAAACAATGTTAAGCAGCCTATATTAAATGAAAGTATCTTAAGAGCCTAAGCAGAATAATGAGGACAGCCGAAATCCATCAAAATGTATAAAGATTGGGTCTTGCCTACTAGACGAAAAATGGTGCTGCTTCAATGTATACGTTTATTGAAATGTACAATGACAGGTAAGTAGAAATTACTTATGTTTGATTGATAGCTTGAAAGAGAGAGAGGGTGTGGAGCCACCGTCAAAAAG